AAGTACTCACTAATTTCATTTTACTTTTCAGTACTAGAGAGAATAAGATAGCTGCAGCATGATTACCGTTGCTTTCGATTTTGGGACATGTCTGTGATTATCTCAAACTAGTGAATCACATCATCTCTCAGACAGAAGTTATGATATGTAGTTTAGGGTATGGATGTAGAAGACTATGAATACTTTTCTATTAACTAGAACTGATTGGAACAGTTAGTCGCCTTTATGAATTTAAACAGTGTAATTACAAAACGAAGTTTATCTGAACAGTGTAGTGTATTTGCACAACATATTTACTTGTCAAATTAATTTATGTTGAACTGAAGGATGGGAGGACAAATGTAACAATTAAGATAGTGGGGCGGATAAAAATTGTTAAAGATTAGGACAATAGGGAAGAGTCAAATAGTTGATCCTGTAGCGTCATATAATTCCCCAGAATCAATAGCCTAGGGTTCTACGAGATTCAACATTGATGTTAAGCTTCATAGCTTTATCGCACTCTCTAGGCTGAAGGCACATGGTCAAGCAACCACACCATTTGGCATGCTATCGTGTTACGTTGCACTGCTTGTAATCGACCCTCTAGCTAGTTGGAACGCATCGGTATTTCAACACGACCTCGTAAATAAACTATTCCACCCAACTACCTTTTTGTGTTCTTCCTTGGTCTAGTATTCATGGATATATTATGAGTACGAATAATTAGTGATTGGTCTCTGCATCTGTCAAGTTCGCACAAAAATAATTCTTAAAATCCTAATCTCCATAAGAAAACAAAGTTTACCAAGATAAGTGTAGTGTAAGAATAAATCATTCTTGTACATAATAAGGTGGTTTCAATTAGTGTTTAGCTATCGCTTCCCCGAATCTCAGTACGTATCCCTGACTGTCTGTACATAAAACTTTGAAAGCTGTTTGAATATTAGTTTTGTGACCTATTTCAATGGTATGTTCAGCTATGAATGAAGACGGTCGTCTCGCGATTGCGCTTATCAAAGTCTCACAATTTTGTTTTGAAGCCATTTAGGTACATGTTCTCCCACTTTCAACTGCATGGCTCAATTACTCCTTCCTATATATGTGTGACCACAAACACATGTAAACTAGTTAAGACAACGGGATGTGGCGTAACCATTGGTGCAGTGTTTAGGTTTGTGGTGCAGTGTCTTTCCTCTTTTTTTTACACTGATAAGCTTAGCAGTATAATATGCTTTCCTGATGCCTGATGTTAGCCTACGTCTCGAAACTATACTAATCAACACCCCTTTGGATGGTAGAGTGATATAGACACTGTTAGCTTCAGTGCTACCTCACGTCCACAGTGGTTTACAAACTTCAACGAATATCCGTTTTTCATAAGTGTCTTGGTCAGTAATTTGATATCGTCATCCGTCGTATCTGATGTACAGATAAGACAGATCCTATTAAACAAGCATTTTATTAGACCTTGCTTATATTGGATCGGAAAAATACTGTGGTAATTCAGATATTATCCTGTCCATGTAGGTTTTCAGTAGACTGACAGTCCTATTGAACCATCCTCTCGTCAACTCAGGAGTACATCTAAGTATAACAGATGACTATTATTATCTATCTCATAATTTACCCATTGAGTCTGTACGGTGTTCAGTCCTTTTAGTAGACAAACCATATCCTTATAAATCACTATGATGTCATCGTCATAGAACTTGTAAAGAGAAAATCTATCGACCAGATAACTATCCAGATTTTCGATGTATAAGTTATTGATATCAGCTAGTAATGGTCCTAAGGAACTTCTTATAGCTACACCTTGATGTGGTGCAACGCTTGTTCCATCGAGGTCTTACAATAACAAAAAGGTCTGCTGGATAATGGTTAGACAAAAAGTAGTTACTATCATAGTGTGGATCGCTACGTTGTGATGGGGGTTTGAGGGCAAAGTCATACTGCTGGCTGGACTGCAGTGTGACAAAAGTAAGCTAATTCCCTTGGATGACCAGTAGTGACACGATGATGCTGCCTTCCCTGTAGGAAGAGCGCAGGTTAGGGAAGGTCAACCCTTAAAATAGCACATTCCGATTACCCTGTAGCATGCCAATCCCTGTTACGTAGGTTCATACTGAGATTCGATAGTGAACAACCAAAATTTCAAACTTGCAACAAGGCCGTATGTGACCAACTTCGAGCAGATGTCCCTCTCGAGATTCGGTCGCACCCTGACCCTCCTTTTTCAGGTACCTCAAGAAGATCTAGCCCTCCAAGGTGTGGGCAGCCAAGAAGTGTCAACCATCCGCACGGTTCCAGTAGTAAACAAGATCCAATCAAAGGCACACCATCATTTTCACCTTCAAATGTGAAATGGTCTTTGTCCGTACTTAGCAATAATAGTTCCCTGATAAAAGTTGGATTAATAGGGAATGGAGGGTTCCTAGAAGATATGTAGTCGCAGAGAATGGTAAGTTTTGGACAATGGCAGGCTAGTGAGTATGCCTTGTGTTGTTCTACCACACATAAACTGGCTGGCAAAAATGTTACATCTAGTCCGAAACGAATTCTGTTTTCATTTCAACCTATTGACTGTCTTAATAACATGAATATCAAAGACAAGAATATGTACTCTTCAATGTAAATTCTTCATTCCCGCAAGTGTATATGGATTGGTTAATGAAGAATAATCACTCAGTGTATAACATTCAAACCTTTGCATTAATCACCGCCAAAAAGCTCAGTGATAACTTCTTTTAATGCGGCCCTGGGTGATATGAATTCCAGCCTCTCAGGCGACATGGGTTCCTTTGTGGTTGCAGATACGTCTCGGCAAGGAATGCCAACAGGCACCAAACCTAGGTCCAGGGCTCCCAGCCTACTGTTTCTAACCAATGTAAATTTTGTACTTTCCCGACTGAACTTGGAGGAAAATTTATACCACCACCAGAAACTTGTAGGGTAAGCAGTTTTACTTCTATAGTAAATCTTCAGTAGAGCCTTTTCTCAAAAAGCCAGGATGCTGTTTACCCTCCAAAAACATCTTACTGGTGCCACACTTCGTACAACTTGCGATAAAATTGTACCCCAGGACCATCACCAGGTTAATTACATACACTTTGATGGTAGCCGGTCTTAGTCCATGGACTTTCATAGTACGACAGGATCTCATAGAATAATAGTTTCAGCCAGCATACCTAAATGTCATTGTGACTTATAAGCCAGACCACCTAAGCTAGGTAGTAGCAGTCAATAGGGATACCACTTGTCGAAACTTAACAAGGGAGTTGAAATTAAGTAGTACCGCGAAGAAACTACTTTTAATCAGTAGTACACGAAAGTATAATTTTGAGGAAATTCTGTGCTAACCGATTATCATAATCTACTAGAGCTCTGATGAGATAAAAATTCAGACACCTAAGAGACAGCTTCCATATGATCATGAATATTTAGAAAATACACATCCTCAGCGATTTGCAGATAACTAATTCTTATAAGTTTTTCAGAAAACTTCACATTGAAGCAATGTCTCAAAGAAAAATACTGCATAGTATGCAGGATGCAAAATATATTTTTAGATTGAATGATAGGACAGGCAAATATTGCTCAAACTACCTTACAATGTAAAACATTCAGGATGGAAATGTAATTCTATAATAATGATTTCGTTCATTTTTTAAGAAGCTAACGAAAAAGTTGGTCAAATTTACTATATTTTATTTCCAAGCAAGAGCAATATAGACGAACTATACCGTATGTCAGCAGTCAATCCCCTTCCTCATGTTAACCGTATTGATTCCCTGAATAAACTAGCAAGTAGATCACTTCACTTCACATCGAAAACAAGTTAATGACAAAGGATGGTATCAGCACTTGATGAACATTAAAAAAAAGAAGTGCAAAGTAGATACAAACAGATGTGTAGTGGAGAAAATTGACTGAAAAACCCGCAGAATATTGTGCTACTTCAGAATTGGTGTTTTATTTAAATGAAGTCCAATCACTTTGAACATTAGGGAAAAAATATGAATACTTAAGTGAAAAGATTATTTATAAGCAGCTTCAATAATCTGAGACATGATACATTTAGAAAGTTTGCATTCTAAAACTGGGTATGGTTTTAAACACATGGAAGAGGCATAATTACTTCATAGTAGAGTTTATATCTAATTATGTTCACGTAGAAATGGTCATTAACTAAAGATGATAGTTAACCATCTGAGTTTAACCGCTAACAGGAAGCCATAACTGATGGGTTAGTGTATGACAGCTTTCAAGGTAACTGTCAAACAACATTCTGATCGAAAATGTTGACATTTATTCAAGAACTCAACACAAAAATCAACTAGATGATAATTCAAGTAAGGGTTAAAACACAACTACAGTTACAAAGCAAGATAATTGGCTACAATAAACCTATGAAACATTTGTAAGACAATTCTGGCGACTATTGGGGCATTACAGATTCTTAGCTGCAAAAAACTATTTTTCCATATGCTCACTTTTTTCGGTTTTATGTATAGAATACAAACTTGAAAGTATAGAATAATTAATTTATTTACATCTTGGCTAGTTTGCCAACCAGAATGAAGTTATAGCTTAGAAATAACCTTCAGTATATTAAACACAAACGTCATGCTATGCAAGCAGTAAAACCACCACAGTTTTTAAAGCATATGTTCAACAAAGATAAGCAGTACAAAAATAACGCATAGTAAATACAGAGAGAAAGTAAATATGCGTGTTTAAACAATCACAACAAGGGGAAATATTATCGATTGAGAATTAAAAAAATAAAGGATAAAAATGCATGACCCATTTGTATTGAATAACTAAACATGAAAAATATGCGTAATTGTAATCAAAATGTCACAGAAATCTAAATAGAAACAAAACAAAAATTATCGAGTAAGTACAACGATAAAAGTCACGAACAGGGACAGAATAATAAATGGGGCATCCAAATTCTTTTTTCCTTCATATGAGTAAATCCATTGAAATATGATATCTAGAATATTATCTCGGGACAGTCAGTGACAGATCCTTTGAGTTAAGTCATTCTAGAAATTAGAAAAATGAAAATAGTTAAGAAAATGAAGATATTCACATGTAAGTAGACAAAATAGATTTATCAACGTACCATTCTCATATAAGCTAATACTCAGACTGAAGAATGCACTGTTTATACGAAGCTTAAACTGTTCATGAAACAGTACGTTTTTCCTTGAATATCTGTTTATATTACTATGTTACTACCTAATTGGTAAACGATTATAATAAAATTACGATTAATAATAACCACAAACTATGGAAACAAAGCATTCAATAACCTGTGGTTACAAGTGTTCGGCAAATAAATGTCGTGAATTATCAGTAAGTATTTATCAATACACAGATTTTTCAACTTATTCCACTGCCAAAAAGTTGGGATGATAAAGTCAAAGTGCACCTCGTAGCTTCGTGGCCACTCAGCAAAAGTATCGATAGAATTCGGTCAGCATTCAGGACTAGACAACATGAGGTTAGTTGCTCTCCAGTTACCAGTCAATCTATAAAGTCTTTGGATAGGTGTAAGTTTACCACATTTATCTAACCAGAACTCATGTGACAACTTTATATCACGACTGTTTGCTCTGATTTCACATTAAAAAAACAGATGTTAGACAGTAAGTAATTCTATGCTGGTTGATTTAATGCTCTGAATCTAAGTAGGACTGCATGAAATAATATCATGTTTTAGTCTGGCCGTCCCTAACCTTTTACAAGCCTAAACCTAACTCAGCTAACAATGTGCGACGAAGCAATCGGTGACTAGGTATGTAGAACATATTTCCAAGCCACCTCAGTCGATGAAGGCTTACAATCTCATCAAGTGAACTTCGTTTTCTCCACTGAACTCGACACCTGACTTCTACATTAGTGACGTGGTGCAGAAGTCAGGTGTAGTTTTAGGGAGAAGAGGAAAGTCAGTTGATGCGTTTGTGAGTTTTTATCGACTAAAGCGGCTGGGACATGTATTACACACGTGTAGTTACTGTCTGCCTCAACACACGGTGTTAGGTAAAGTAGGTTTAGGCTGATAAAAGGTTAGGGATAGCCAGATGAAAAAAGCATAGCAATATTGCATAAAGTTTTTGAGTGTTTGTAAGACCTGTGTAGGGAAATGTGGACTTTCTGGTTGGGACCCACGCGACAACACAAACCAGTGGTTGGAGATTCTACGTGATATGGTTCTGAGTCGATCTTAACGGCATACATGTAAACTCACATCATCTTAATCGCAATGCTGAATTCAGTATTATCATATTCCTCTTTCACTACTTTTGACCGATTTTTCTTCATTTTGTTATCTTAGTGCTTTCTCGCTTGATGTGTTGATATGAAATGTGGCAGATGGGACCGTTACGCAGAAATACTTGGTCCTATGTTGATGATGATAACCATGGCTTTTTTCGACTCATTATTGCTGTGTCATCTGGAAACCCAACCAAAGATGTCACCACTGAAGCATCTGATTCAAAAACATTCTCCGTCAAAAATGCAATACAAAAACACCATTCGACTACTAAATAGTATCCAGTTGTTCTATTCTGTCTGATTTTTAGTGCTGACTAGATTTGATCCCCTACATTTGAGGTAAACTCTTCATAAAATTTGTCAACACTATTATGGATTGCATTTCATGTTGAGCGGCTGACGACAATATTTAAGAATCACAGCATACTTTTTACGTAAAGACTTAAATAATAGGCAAACAGACCAAACATTATGTAGAAAAAACAGAAACCCACTACCTATGAGCAGGATATTCCAAAATAAGAAATTAACGTAAAACCTCCCTCACAAATGCATCGGTTTAACTTCTCATACTTCCTATTAGCATGCAAAGAACAAATCGATAGAAAGATAGTGATATCTAAGTAGAAAAAGGTGTATGGGAGAAGAGACAGTCTGAAGATACGGGTTAGGGGAAATATTTAAGCTTTAGATGACGTAAAAGAGTAAATACATCTGGGTTGTTGTAACCGATTTCCAGTCATGTCACCAAGAATCTGCAGTCATTGATCACCATGATCTTATGAGGACCAAGCAAGTAGTCTACACCTGACTATATGGCTCAGACTTTATGGACCACTATGAACCTTCTTCCAACCTAATCCAACGTTTCCCAGAGTTGTCCATCGAGGTAGAGGGAGGGGGGATGGAATCGGCATGTGCAACAAATGTACCAGCAACCTCAGTCACTAAAACTTTATAATCTCACGGACCGACTTTCTTATTTGTCTAGTAGCTTTTGTCTAACCCCTACATTGCTCATCAAGTAATTCCATTATATCTGAGCACAATCTTCCATGATTAACAAATGCACTCCGTATTTTTACCTAGTTTGTAACAGCGGTCAATAATTGGCCACGCTTTCATATGATTCAATAGCTTGTTTTCGATAAATCTCGACTAGATATTAAGTTCAAAGAAAAAGGGCAACTGGTCTTCCTCATCATGTAAATGAGGTACAGCAAGTGCAACATCCATGAGTCGAAATGCACTCAGCAATCAAATGGGGTGTTCGTGCACTACACAGAGAGTAGCACTTACTGTGTGGGCTGATAATATTGCCTGGCTGCCCAAACCTCGGTACATGAAGCAGGTTGTGAAGTGGCAACCCACTGGTTGATTCGAGTGTCTAGATCAATGAACCACAGCTGTACAGTGATATTCAAGAAAGTATGAACAGTGGGCAAATGGGTGTCCCAGAAAAATGGTTTCTAACGTATCTATAGGATCGATAGCGATTTAGAAAGACCCATGCTTTAGGGGTATAAAGTAGAGTACAAATAAAGCCAATGCAAAAATCCCATACTGCTCAGAAGTTTATTACGATTTACAAGACATTTAGGAATACAACTCCGTCGACTAACTTAAGATCAATAACTGGTCATGGTTCTGTTTGATACTTGTTATCTTCCGTTGCTATACTGGGTCGAAATGCTTGACCTCTGTTGGTACACAGGCTCCCACAAGGACATCTCGATACTTCCTGATTACCCATTATATTGTAATTTGCTTGGTTGTTGTAATCTCTCCGTGCCCCAGTGGGTAACGTTTGGCGTTTAGACGAGTGGTACTGGGCTCGAGCTTCAGTGGGAGCAACACACACTGGGGTGCAGGTACATCTGTCTGACGAGTCTCAAATAAGATGAAACGCGCATACCAGATCCTAATGCTAGCCACCAAGCACGCTGCAACATGACGGTTATGGTTTGTTGTTTTTCGTACTGCAAATTCTATCGGTGGGACAAGAGTTTGAAAATGATTCCGACCACTGAGGCCATCATAGCCACACTGCACCACACAAAGTGTGTTCTTCGTAACCTTATACACTATCAGTAACTTATTGCATAGTATTTGCTGACCTTCCAAATGAATCTTCTTTGCGCCTAGATACCAACAAGTACCTAAAAATTCACCTGTGATCATATATTTTTATCTATGAACTTGTACAAAGCAACTTAATAACAAAATCCATTTGAGTGCGTTACGTATACAGTTTGCAACAGAATCAGCGAAACCTGCAATATCTTGTGGCGAACAGCGAAAATTAGACTACGTAGAAAAATTGGCACACTAATGTGCGTGGTCCGACTAACAAGTACTTTACCGAAACGCTTAGCCGCAATTCGGAAACCAATAAAACACTGGCGGAGTGTATATATTTCAGTCTACATGGCCAAATCAGGGATCTCTGCAGCCGGTTTAATGGGTTATTAGTGGAAGAGTTGCGAGCTAAGAGACAGCAGAATGTGAAGTGTACAGTTCCAGACAGATCTGGTAAGTTACTTGATGAAGTTGAGACCACCTATTTATTTACGGTAGAGTAACTTTCAGCGATTTGAAGGGCAGCAGTACTTATAGCTGAGACCACACGTTCTGAACCTAAGTAGTGTATAGAAAGACAAACTTCTTGACTGGGACTTCTAAACCGACGTAAATCAGCCAGTTACATTAAAAGAATTCATTATCAGTTTCAACAGCATGGTAGGATTTATTTTCTACTATGCTACCGAACCCTTTTAATACAGCTGCTTATAGGTAATGACTACCGAACTCCACCTACTTTTTATCAATCGGTAGTATGATTATCCTGAGACAAATGTAACTCCAAAGCATGAACAGTAGTTAACTGTACAACAGTTGGTAAACAATTAAAAACTAACCAGAGGTTCCAATTCTTTCCGGTCAATGAGATCGAAGTGAGTCACGAAGTAGTAGAAGTGCTTGTAGCAAGTATTAACATGGGCTTCCTATAAAGTCATTAACAAGTGATAACACCTACCGCTCCTATCTCATGCAGTCGGTCGAAATGGTGAATGTAGACATGTACAAACACTCGGAACAGCCGGCCGAATATTTTTTTTACAGTTGGAATATAACACTTTGGAAAAGGTACACCTAGATTTTATTAGTTTACGTAATGCAGTACCTATATCTGTCGGGAACAAAGATGGATCGTTTATTTGTGCATCAATCCAATCCATCAGCTCATCGATATATTTTGGAGCTGGTAGAGGAGTGGGCTTTTTGTAGTGCACATTATCACGCCAATGATATTCGAACTTTTTGCCTCCGGACATAGTTGGACACGTTTGTTCAGTGCATCGGTCACATATAGTCCCATATATAAGGTTGATGCGGTTATAAAAATCAACAACTAGTGCAAACAATCAAAAAGTAACAAAAGTACCATGCACAGCTATCCAATCATTTAGTTCTTCATCTTCTGGCTTTTTAACTGCTTCACGAAGGTCGATACCTGCACTTAGTGAAGCTTCAGCATGTTTGTGAAGATGATAGCGTATTGTGTCCGGAGCAAATTTTTTCTTTGGTCGGAAAGTCTTTCGAAATAAGTAGGATCATCAACTAAGTAGTAATACCTTTTGTTTGACGAATATCTCTTTAAACCCATTGAAGGCCATTATTCAAACTTAGTGTTTGACCTTACCTATTCAATATCCAATATCCAATATTGATAGTGCGAGCGTAGAAAACTAGTAGTTTTTGATCTCTCGCGTCTAGTTCTTAGGGCTTGGTTCCAGTTGTTCGGTTCACTCCTGCAGTGGACGAGGAAATCCCCTCTGCTTTCTTGCTTTTAGCTTCGGTGAGGTGGATGTTTTGTGGGTTAGTAGGTTGTAATTTGTAGAGTGATTAGGGAGCTACGGGCTGCTGGGAAGTTTAGAGAACAACCGTGACTCCTGTCTGTGTAGGTACCTGAAAGAGAATATTAAGGTAGTGGTAAAGGAATGAAGAGAGAAGAAAGGAAGAGTAAAAAAAAATAAATAAATAAATAAATAAAATAAAATAAAAAAAATAAAATAAAATAAAAAATAAATAAATAAATAAATAAAATTAAAAATAAAAATAATAGTAATAATAATGTAGGGAAGAGGAAAGGGAAGGAGAATAAAAGAAGGGGTGAAGAGAGAAATGAGAACGAAAGAAAAGTATTTGGGAATTGCCCGAATGGTCGCGTGGGTTTGGTTCCTACAGAAGAATTAGTAGGTAATGTGGGTGTATTAAGGAGAGAGATAGTGAGTGGTAGTTAGGAGGGAGTTGGGGGTACTGAGGTTGGTGACTACCTGAGTACGTCCGTGGTAGTCCATGCGAGGTGACATAACTGTCTAATCGCCTCTTGAAAGAGTCGATTGAAGGAGCTATAACGATGTGTCGCGGTAAGGCATTCCATAAAGCACATACTCTCAGGGAGAAAAATTTGGACCTGAGTGTGGTGTTGGCTCTCTGGTGTGCTATCTTAAAGGGGTTTCCTCGTGAAGATCGTTCAGTTGCAGGCAAAATTGATTTGTTTGCATGGTCTGCCTGATGGGCGATCTTGTATGCCATAATGAGGTCACCCCTTTTCCTGCGATAACCCAAGGTAAATAGGTTGAGGTGTTTAAGTCTTTCAAGATACGTCTTTCCCCTTAGCCCCACAACTGATTTTGTTGCAGTTCTTTGTATTCTTTCAAGGAGATTAGAGTCTCTCTTGAGTGTTGGAGGAGCCACCGTATTGAAGACCTCTAGGTGCGGCCGCACGTAGGATTTGAAAATGGTAAGGAAGAGTTCGGGAGTGAGGGCGCCAAGCTGTCTACGCAGAAAGTGTAGAATGGCGTTCGCTCTGGTTGTCATACCTTTGTAGTTGGAGCTGGTGTCCAAGGTGTCGGAGAAGTTGAGCCCCAAATCTTTCTCCATGGACACTCTGGTGATAGCACGGTTGCTCAACATGTACTGGAAGTCGGTCGTACTTGCCTCATTTTTACTGATGTGCATTACTTTGCACTTTTCCAGTTGAAGCTCAGACCATTTTCCGACGACCAGAGCTCGAGTTGCTGCAAGTCCTTTTGTAGTGCTGCACAGTCGGCTTCTTCGTTTACCACCCTCCAAATTTTTATGTCGTCAGCGAAGAGGAGGATGGGTGAGGATATTTTGTCTGGCAGATCGTTGACAAAGAGGAGGAACAGAAGCGGTCCTAGGATTGCTCCTTGGGATACTCCTGACGTCGACGGTCTCCACTCCGACCTTATTCTGTTCACTTTAGTGCAGAACTGCCTCCCTTCCAGGTACTCCTTGAACCAAGAGAGTAGGGGTCCACTTATACCAGCTGACATGATCTTGTGAAGCAGTACTGTGGGTGGGACACTGTCAAATGCTTTGGCTAGGTCGAGAAATACAGCATGTACAGGTTTTCTATTATCCCAGCTTTGTGTCCAGTCGTCCCAGGCAGTTAGTAAGTTGGTGGCACATGAGCGACCACTACGAAAGCCGTGCTGAGCAGTGTGGACAGTGTTTTTTCTATTGAGGAATTCCCAGATGGTGTCAGCTACCAGGCTTTCCAACACTTTCGACACAATAGGGAGTAGGGCAATCGGCCTGTAGCTGCCAGGGTTTTTTCTGTCTCCTCCCTTGAAGATGGGTGACAAGATGGCACTCTTCCATTCTTTAGGGAGTTTGCACGAGTCTATTGAGTGCTCAAAGAGGTTGCGAAGTGGTTTGGTAAGCACCTCGGCGCAGTTTTTCAGAACCACTGGTTTCAGATTATCGCAGCCAGGGGACTTGCCCGGACGTAGCCTAGATAGCTTCTCGAACACCTTTTTCTCTGTAATAGAGACGTGACAGAGGTATTCGTTATTTGCGACCTGGTCGGTGTCGTGGCGAGTCGGTGTGGATCTTGTGTCAGTGCTGAGTTGGGCTTGGAAGTGTGAGCTCAAAAGCTCGGCAATCTCTAGACTGCTTAGCACACTCCCGTCATGGCCTGTGACAAGATTCACTCCCTTACTGGTCGACTTTCTTCTTGACATGAAGCGGTACAGGTTTTTGGGGTTGCTTTGTAACCTCGCTGCCAAGTTTGTTTGGTAGGAAAATCTGTCGTTACGCACTCTAATGTTACAGAGATTGCGAATCCTTTTATAGTTCAAGAAGTCAGACTCCCTGCGTGATGTAAGCCACTTGAACCAAGCCTGTTTCTTGCTCCGGATAAGCCTCTCTGTCCCACGCTTTAACCATGAGGTTCTCATTGATTGTCTGTGTGTTACTTCTGGTACACTGTGACTGATGGCCCCAGTGATTATTTTCTTCACCTCCAACCAGTGTTCATCTATTGTGAGATGAGTCCAGTCCACTGGCCATGATGCATTCATGAGGTAGTCCCTCATGGTCTCATAGTTGGCCTTGCTGTAGCAAGGGAAGGTGTTGGGCGTCTCCAGTTGCAGAGCCTCCCTAGTTATCATGGAGAAGGTGATTACAGCGTGGTCACTGAGGCCAAGGGGAGGTTGGATGCAAACATCCTCAATGAGAAGTTCATCGTTCGTCAGAACGTAGTCAAGGCGCGATGCGTTTCCGTTAGGTCCCCAGCGTGTAGCATCACCCACTTTCTCTGAGAGGCCAGCAGTCTTAATTGCATCCTTCAGCTTCTGATTGAAGGATCTGATGCGTCTCCCTTCCGTCTCGAAGAGGATGGACGGGGTGTTGAAGTCGCCGGCAATGACTACGGAATCGTAATTTGCAGAGGAAGTCGTTAAGATAGCCTTGATGATCATTTCCTTATGTGTAGGGGAGCAGGTGGGGGACCGATATATGACTCCGAGCAAATATTTGGTACTGTGGAGAGTGAAGTAGCACCATAGGGACTCTGGGACCTGGGTTAAGGCCGTATCGCTAACCATCCTTGCCTTTAAACAAGAGTTTACGTAGATAGCCACTCCTCCTCCTGCTCTATGTTCCCTGTCCCTGCGGAAGAGTTCCATGCCAGTAACATGCATCTCTTCGTCGGAGATGTCTGGCGAGAGCCAGGATTCGGTGATGAATATGATGTCGGAGTGCTGATGTGCACGCAGCGTCCTCATTTCTGCTACCTTCCCTCTTAGCCCCCTAACGTTGCTGTACATACATATTAGAGTGTGCCTGGTGAGGGGGAGGTCTGGTTGTGTATTTTCGCAGGATGACAGCTTATGTGGTTGGGTCTACCCTCGCCAGTCCTCATAGGACTGGCATTGTTCCGTTTTTTGGTGTTTTGTTATTAACTTGGGTGGGGGCTGTGGCAGTGGTGGCTTCTTTACTTGATGTATCTAACTCACTGGTCAGCGCCTGTGTGACGACCACTGACTCCAGGGTCTTGGTGGTTGTCGTCTCTCCTCTTGCCTTGTGGGTCTAGGCTTACTTTCACATATACGTATTGAGCCACCCATGCGATCCTTCGCATTATACCATGCCTGTAGAACGTCTGTGAGGGAGGCATGTGAGTCGAACTGGACGGCGAGTAGTCTGGGATTGGGTATGGTCTTCAGGTGCGCTGGCCTTGGCAGTCTACTGACGCTGTTGGCCGGTATGCTGTTGAGACCAACTTTGGTTGAGAGCCATTGCCATTGTTGGACGTCATGAAAGTACCGATCTTTGACCGAGCGGTCACTTGGCAATTCTGGAATCCCATGTACAACTATAGTGTTGTTTCTGTTGGGATTTCCAACCGCTGACTTTCTCTCCTCCTCTCTTATTGACCATGGCTTGTCAGGCCTGGCCCGAATTTTACAGGCATTAACAACGTCCGGTTGTCGCGAGAGGAGGAGTGTGTCTTCAGCCTCTTTGGTAGTATTTAGGGACACACGTAAAGGGGGTGGCTTATCTCGGGGTGCACGGCTTCCTCGAGAAAGGCGACATAAAGTTGCAGGGAGGGGAGGGAGTCCTAGCATCTGACAGTAGTCGGTCCACATTCGGCTGTCAAACCGTTCCCTCTCGACCAACAATGAGTCTGTCGATACATCGACGTTGAACAAAATGATCGAGTTGGTCCTCCTGTGACCTGGGTTCGTTGTGGGTGGCACGCCCGACTTCCCAATGGGTTTGAGTAATTCCACTGGTTGTTTCTCAGTCACGGTGTGTAAGGTGTTTGGAATGGGTTTCGTAGAGGCTTTAGCGGTCGATGTCTTTGGCCATACGCTTGACGTCCCCTGGGGCCGGGTAGGAGGTATGGAGACTTGACCTAATATGGTCCCCACGCGAGGTGGCGTGCCCACAGCTGGAGCTCTAGGTCTGTTTCCAGGTCTCTCTGTGTTATCTTTTGGTGTTAACCCTACTTTATTCGAGGGTGCTGGTAGCTTTTGCGTGGCGGAGAGCATCTCCTTCAGGCTTTCTGTGCGCAGTGCGGGCATTTTCCTGCACTCTGGACAGATGTACCAGAACCACTTGCATGGTTGTCTCTTCATCAACTTATAGTATTGTCGGGGGACTTTGGTGTCGCAGTGACAATGCGCCCATCGTTGACATAGGTTGCATGCAAATGCCTCATCGACTACCGAAACAACTTTGGTGCAAACACTGCAGCCATCGGGTGTCGTAATACAGCATTCCTTGCATGAATTAGGTGCTACGGATTGTGACGAACTGCCTGTGGCTGCCTTGTGCTGAAGCCTTTTACGTCGTCTTCTAT